ACAACATAGAACCCTTCATCATTCAAAGAGGTTAAAAATTTCAAAGTTTCTATATCTCAAATCTCTATTTAGACTATTTAAAATACACTATGCTAGGAGTGTTTCTTAAAATTATTTTTACCTTAAAAGTTTAATTTCCTTAACCTTCACTATCCCAACCTTCTCTTGAATCAGCAAAAGCAGTCTTCATCTTTAGCCACCACCACGTCTTGTAATTATCCTATGCCATGCCTAAGGACCTGGATAGGTAAAAACTATGATATAGACATATTAGTTCAATATCATCTCAGCCTCATAGATTCAGGGGTTCATCATAACTCTGCATATGATACTTTTTATACAGTTCTAGTAAAGCAGCCACTTCACAATCTCAATATAAATTAAGAAATTTTGTCTCAAAAGAATGGCTGTCATCACTTGGTCTCAGATGGTTCTTAAAAGCCCATTGCCATTAACTCTTTATAAATAAGCTTAACAATGCTCTAGGCCCATCAAGCATCCACTCAAATCGTAGAAAAAAAATTGCTCAGGGTCTGTATTATGATTTTAAAGACCTCATGTCTCTTCAACAATAGCTCCTAGATTGTTAAGTATTTTTGCAATCTCTTATTTCTTAAATGCATTGGGCAGTTGAAACATTTAACTACCAATTGCCCTCTTAATGCATAAAATTTGAAATGTAGAATTTTTTGAACTCATTGTAGCATGTCCTTTAACATCTCCGGGTCTATGATTTTCAACTGAAACGCTGTGCTTTACTATAAATAGCTTGTTGTCACTTATGACGCAGGCTCAGATAACAGCATTTAGCTGACTTTGAATGAGAGAGAAAACTGAGGGATTCAGGACTGGTAGCAATGCATTTTCATTAACTTTTAACAATTTCATTGTACTATCTTTTTACTCTAGCCCAGCTTAAAACATTTTCAAATAAACATCTCTATTTTTGTATTTTTACTTTATTTTTGCAACTCCAAGGTTTCTTCAAAGTGAGTTCTTTTGCAGTCCTTGTCAGTGCATTTACATCAACTTGTATTTATGCATTCACTTAAATCTGGCCATGGATTTGGAATTTCAACAATGGTTTTAAATCTGCCAGGGGTTATCGGACCCAGATGTGTCACTTTGGGTCGTGCTAACTGTGCTTTCTTCAAATTGACTTTGAAACCCCCATTTATGTTACTTGTTCACAAATCACAACATTATCATCTCATATGCAAAAAAAA